AATAGGTAGACATTTTTATGTCAATGGAAGATTTCATTTCCTGCATCTGGTGAAGTATACTTTAGTCCATGAAAGTTTATGCCATAATAAAATTATTCATTAAGGCACTCCATGTTTCTTTCTTATTGTTAAAAGGAATTCTTATTTCTTTATTTTTTTTTAATTCCAGAGGCTGAGCAGTTACCCCAGTGTACTCCCTTCTTGGAGGTTTTTAAGCAGAGGCTGGATGGCCATCTGTCCTGGGTGCTTTAGCTGTGATTCCTGCATTGCAGGGGGTTGGACTAGATGACCCTTGGAATCCCTTCCAACTCTATACTCTTCCAAAAATAATAACAGTAAGCCACGAGACCCAGAAAAGCTACTGCCTTCTCCACTTATCTTACTTGCAGTCTGTGTTCCCCATTAAAACACTAGGTCTCCAAGCATACAGTATATCCCACTGCACTGAAACTCACAGCCCACCTATCTTGTTGAAAACGGTAATGAGAAATGATAGCTTCCCCTGCCTAGAAGCCACGAGGTGGTTATATTTTATGCTTGTCATAAAGGTCAAGTGGAAAGAGCAACGATCCATGAAAATCCCGGCAGAAGAGGACCAAGGAACTGAGAGGGACCCATCCTTGAATTAACTCCAGAATAATTCCAGTGGGCGGGGCCTGCAGTCTTCTTTCTCTGTTTGTTTCTCCCTCTTTTCGCTAAATTCCTAAACGCCACCCAGAATGAGAGAGTCATACTGCAATCTTATGCATGTACACCTGGAAGCAAGTCCCATTGAACTCAGTGGGGTTTACTTCTGAGTAGACATATACAAGGTTGCACTGTTAGAGTACTGTTTGTTGCACTTGGTTTGATTTTTTAGAAATTTAACTAGCTGTCAGGGAATCTGCCAAGACAATTATAAAAATGAGGAGCATTTTCTCATTCTAAAAAGCTTATTCAGGGGGTAAGAAATCCCAGACTTTTCCCTTAGGGCTACTGCCAGGTTCCCTTTTGATATTCCCCAAGCTCACAGAAAAGGTGTGGGCAGACTTGAAAGAGTGTAGAATCCACTTTGGTTTTAACTAAAACCTTGAGATCTATCTCCCAGAGCTGAGTACAAATCACAGACATTTAGAATTAAAGATTTCCAAGCCTGAGAATTACTTTAGAGCATCAGAACCGAACAGAGTCCACAGTCCTTCTGCACAAAAATCTATTGTTGGTTACCCCAGGGTTTCTTCATTTCAGCCATATAATTTTGAAGGAGAGTCTCTTTGTTGCTGCCATTTTTTAGTAATCACTCAAGAGATCTACTGGTAGATCTCAATTTACCTTCTTCCCACCTCTTACTGTTTACTGAACAGTGCCTGAATAGCTGGGGAAACCACTTAATTGTATTAGAATTCCTGATCTGTGATTGCAGTCATGGGATTTTTGTCTTTCACATGATGTGGTATGTTTTGACTCCACAGAGTGGGAAGTGACGGGGAAGCGGGAAGCTCTCTGTCTTATATGCACCATTTTGCATCTCCTTTCCAGTTTGCACTACTTTGAATTGCTTCATTCATGTACTGTTTTTGGTTCAGCTTAGCATTACATGTGAGTTCAGGCTCATGGTTTATCTCCCACAAACTGTAAGCCAGGAGCAAACCTTGGTTTGTGCACATGGTTAGTTTGGAATAAAACAGACCACAAGACCAGGTTCGCACCGTGGCTAAGCTCCCGGTGCCATGTCAACATCAGGAGAGGAGCACAGCAGTAGCAGGTTTCTCACTATTTGCCAGCCTGTTTGCCTCTTCACCATGATTTGGCTTAGCATATTGCATGCAAAACAGGCCTCTGTATTACACAGAGACACCTAAAGATGAATCTAAGCTTGCTCCACCACCCATCAGCTCAAGAGTGCCAAATTAGTATGGGCAGTCTGAACTGCAAGAGAAAATGCCGTCAGGTTTCATAAAGCTTTCAGAAAAGGAAAGGCTTCATCAACAGACACTGTGATACTCCTAGGAATCACAGTGTGACTGATTCTGAAACCTAAGGTCTTTGTGAGAGAGGTCATTAAATGCCAATTAAAAAACAGAAACACTTCTAGAAGACTTTCCTATATGCATTTACTGTTGGTTTACTTGTTTTAATCTTTGTAAACTATCTGGAAATCATTGACGAATAGCAATATATACTATAACTTATCTGCTGTTGTTGCTGTCTCGCCAATGGTGGTTCATGGTGGGCAGCAGCTGTGGAAGCTCAGGCTCAATGACCCGAGTCTGCACTAAGAGATAGGCAAGATGGTCTCTGGCCTCTTCAGCAGCCTCACCTTTTGCAGCTGGAATCGTTCAGGGCCCCACCCTCCCAGGCCAGGTGGGAAAAGGCCTGCAAGGCAGGGAGCAGGTCTTCCAAGACTTACAGTCCAGGTGGTCTCTTTTTATTTTGATGCCCCCATATTTTCGTCATTTATCTTTCTGGAAGTCCAGTTCTCTACAAAAAGGGAAATTGGCTCTACATAACTGGTGCAGCAATTAGTTTAGACATTTCTCTTTTAAATAAGTGGTGGGGATGGGGCACTCATCCTAAATGTGGCCTCTAAACACCCTCTAGTGGGGAGAGAGACCAATGTATCCATTGTGAATGAACCAAACTTTTGCCATTCATTCTGCAGCAACTTGCCCACTATTTGAATTTAAATAGTCAGAATACAACACTTTTATTAACAAGTGGAGATGCTACAGGAATGAACTTGTTCTGACTGGCCCAAAGAGCATCCACAGGGACTTCCTTATTTACATTGCTCCAGTATAACATGAGAAGGGGCAAGTGCAGCTCCTTCGTCCCAGCATATGAACTGAAGGCACATGACACCAATACCTTGCTGAAGCTAAGCAGGTCTTGCTCTGGCCAATGCCTGGATGGGAGACCACCTGGTGCTACATGATGGAAGAAAGGTGGCATATAAATGTAAGGAAATAACCCAACTCATGCAATAATGGTCATCTAAAGAGAGGGACATGCACTGAAGCTGAACATTGGTAGATTCTGGACAGATTAAAAAGGGCACTTCTTCACCCAGTTAAACTATGGAAAAAATCACGCCCCTGAGAGACAGTGATGGCCACCAACCTGGATTACCTTAAATGAGGATGGGACATATTTGTGGAGGATAAGGCTATCAAAGGCTACTAGCCATGATGCTCTGCCTTCATGGTTGGACGCAGTTAAGCTTCTGAGTACCAGTTGCTGGAAGCCACAGGAGGGGAGAGTGTGCTTGTGCTCAGGTCCTCCTTGCAGGTTTCCCACAGGTATATGGTTGGCCACTGTGAGAACAGGATGCTGGACTAGATGGGCCATTGGCCTGATCCAGCAGGCTCTTCTTATGTTCAATGAGATAAATTTGTACAGGTCTTGTGGTGTGCTTCCCCCACCCACCCCAATACAGTGGTACCTCGGGTTACATATGCTTCAGGTTACATACACTCCAGGTTACATATGCTTCAGGTTACAGACTCCGCTAACCCAGAAATAGTACCCCAGGTTAAGAACTTTGCTTCAGGATGAGAACAGAAATCGTGCTCCGGCGGTGTGGCGGCAGCAGCAGGAAGCCCCATTAGCTAAAGTGGTGCTTCAGGTTAGGAACAGTTTCAGGTTAAGAATGGACCTCCGGAAGGAATTAAGTACTTAACCCAAGGTACCACTGTACTTCAATATACTGTGATGCACCAAGAAGCAATTTGGGAGATCAGTTGGCGTTTGTGTAGAGGGGAAAAAAACTCATTTGTTTACTCTTCTCTAACATATCATATTTCTGCTTGGTCTATAAAAGATAAAAGGTAAAGGACCTTTTATAATCCCACTTTCAGGCTGAGGGAGCCGACATTTGTCCACAGACAGCTTTTTGGGTCATGTGGCCACCATGACTAAACCACTTCTGACGCAACAGGACACCGTGACAGAAGCCAGAGTGCACGGGAACGGCGTTTACCTTCCCACTGCAGCTATACCTATTTATCTACTTGCACTGGTGTGCTTTCGAACTGCTAGGTTGGCAGGAGCTGGGACAGAGCAAGGGGAGCTCACCCTGTTGTGCGGATTCGAACCGCCGACCTTCTGATCGCCAAGCCCAAGAGGCTCAGTGGTTTAGACCACAGCGCCACCTGCTCCCCATGATTGGCCTATAACACCATTTGCACACACTTGGCTTTTAACACACCGTGCACACAAAGCAGATGGGCTGTATATCCATAGCCCTGTCACATAATCAATGATGGGCAGATCAGATGTTTGGTGCGGAGAAAAAGTATGGCTCCCTCTCCTCCCCCAAACAGCTGATTGGTGCTATTGTAAATTATTTGATGGGTCTACATGTATACTGCCCCGGTTGTTGGATTGAGCTGATGAGTCCTGCTCACAGCATCTGTTCTCGTGCATCATTGACTATCTGGCTAGGAATTTGGTCGCAGAAGTCTGCACCTGTGCGCAAAGTACCTCTGGCTGGATCAGAGAAGAAATCTCTATGAATCTAACAAAAGCTCATTACTATCTAATGAACAGCTGTGGAAGCTCACAGCAAAACACCGTTCTAGAGGAGAGAAGCTCCATACCATTACTGGTGGGCAATGCAGGCAGAGAACATGTGTTGAATGGAGGTTCAATCCCCAGCATCTCCAGGAAGGAGTGGGAGGGACCTGTCTGAGCTAGATGGTCTTACTCAGGATACAGCAGATTCATGTGTCCTTAGGATCAGAGGCAGAGGAGCATTTTGGTCAGCAGCATGGAGCTGCATGATTTCTGACTTGTCAGGCACACTCAGCATGGGTGGAGGCTACTGATATTGGTCTGACTTGTCCAGTAGGATTACCATTCAGTAGACATGCATCTCATCCAGATGTCACTCTGCTTCTGCCCTGCAACCTTTGCCAAAAAGGACTTTTCAGTGACCACTTTCTACTTGCCACACCATTGCAGGTTGCTGCTGTGTTGTTGTTGTTTTTAAAATCCTATAAATAAATGTTAACGTTCAGTTCTGTTTTTTTAAAAAAACCAAAACACATTTATTACTCCACAAATGCAATGACTTTTCTGCAGATACCTGCCAAAATAAAAACAATCCCACAAACATATTGCTGTAACTGAAATGTCCTCATAGAACAGACTGTTCCTTTTCATGCAGTAAAACTTACAGAAATGAACGAACCTTGTTTACAAAGATATTTTACAAAGTAAAATTGCACTGTAATAAACCGACAAAAGAATAGTCACCCTCGATGCATCAAGATCCCATCGGCACCTTAGCTTTCTATTGCCAACACAGGTGTTTTGCATTTGTTTTTAAATATTACTTCTCTGAGGTTTATCCCCATGAATTGTTTGCATGTACAATGAGGGCTCCTGCTGATAAACTCGAGAAGCGGCTTACTGTAGCTCAGGTTGCACCAAGTGAGCTCCTAATTCAGAGATCTGCAAGCCCCATCTATTGTGTTCATTAAACACCATATGATATATGGTTATATATATTTCTCTCTCCCTCTCTCCCTCTCTCTCTCTGTGTGTGTTTATATCTTACCATAATGGTGAAATGTTCAGATGTGAGGGCCAAAATCACATCAAGATAACCTGAATGTGAAGTTGCCAGCTCACCTGCAACACTAGAAGCTCTGCTACTATTTTACCTCCCAGGCTTCTCTTGCTAACTCTCCATCGTATTATTATTATTATTTTTAAAAAAACTGTGGTTGGCTTGCAGCCTTCCACCAAAGAAACTGAGGGCGGCATACATGCAACCGGTCCCATTTTATTCTCACAGAAAGCCTGTGAGATCAGTTGGGCTGAGACATAGGGACTGGCTGATTAGCTTCACTGCCAAGTTGGCATTGGACCCTACCAGTCAACACTTGGTCCACTGTAGTAGAGCAGCCAGTCTGGTGCCTTCAAGATATTGTGGGATTTCAGCTCCCATTGGCCAGTCTGGCTGGAACCGATGGGAAGTTGTAATCAAATGACATCTAGATTGTACTGTGTGGGCTTTCTTTGCAATAGGCTTTCCATGTGGTCGACCAAGTGGTATACATTTGACCAAGGTTCTGATTGTGGGCTTCTCACAGGCACCTGGCCACTTTGGGAAGAGGACGCTGGACTAGATGGAACGTCAGCCTGATCCAGCAGGGCTTGTCTCATGTTTTTATTGTATGGCAACATTCCTGCTTCCATCAACAAGAATGCTTCTGTCCAAGTCTTGGTCCCTTTCAGCATTTATAATGATTCACCATCAACAAGAGTGAGAGGCATTAACTCACATATTTACTGGTATGCAAAATTTACAGACAAATGATCAGGGCACGGGCTGCTTTTTGGACCTTAGCGCCCATCCCCATTGGAATGTTTTACAATAGCCACGGTCCACACCAAAGCGGATTCGATTACCTGCTTGTAAATACACAACAAATTCTAACTGCTGAAACAAGCCAGTTCTTCACTTGCTGACTGACGATTGATACCAATAACCATTGTGCTCAATATAAGCATTTATTTTAGAGTTATTTCTTAGAAACCACAGGTCCCTGTGATTGCACTCCACACGTATCAGGTATTATAGTGAAAAGGAAAAGTACATCGCTTTAGTAAAGTACATAGGAACAGGCTTTAAAAATACATAAATTCCTCGTCTAAAAGATTGTGCCTCAATCAAACCCTCGATTCCTCAAAGTCAGTGTGCTATATTGTGTATCAGGAATGCAGTACAGTACTGGCAGAATAAATGACTCAAGGACAGGGAGGAAGTGTAGCTTTCCTGGGAAGAAGGAAATCGCCCTGCTAAATCACCCTGAAGATTGCAACTCCACAAGGATCTCCTAACAACTCTCAGCACCCTTAACAAACTACACCTCCCAGGATTCTTTGCTTAAAGTGGCACGGCACCAATTTAAAAGGACAGAGCACATGCCGCTTTTCCATGAATCAAGTAGCCAATAAGGAGAAGAAGAAGAATATCTATTATATCTATTGAATGAAGATAATGTTTTTAGATGGTATCAGGATTGTTGTTGTTGTTTTAAGAAAATAATGGCAGAATCTTCGACACAATGGTAGGTGCACAGCACACACTCCTTCCAAGAGTCCACTTGGAGGAAAGGATGAATAATTCAGAACGTTAAATCTGCGATTGATGAATTCATCACAGCAGAGTAACAGAGCATGCAATTGCCAACCCACACTTAAGTGTGGGATTCAAGCTGGAGTATGTGTGCCGCGAAGTCTCTTGTGCTAATGCAGCCGAATCAGTTGACTAACCGAGTTGGCGCTTTGACTCTAAACACTTCTGCTGGCATAGATGGCAACGCCTGCAGTGTGATATTCCTGCAATACCAGCGTAGCACCAGGTATTGTGAGACTGTGCTACCCCTTCCAAAAGTGAGTGCAGTTTCATTGTAGAGTGGGGGGGCACTGCCATTCCCTTGGTTTGGGCTAGGGAGAGGAACTGATAGGAAAAGCTTTGGCTTCTTTGAATACCCCTACATTGTACTCCACCAGCAAACTTGAATTTTGTTCTTCGTGAAATTTTGGTTGTGCACAATGTTCATTTCCTAACCAAACTCCACATAAAACTGTGGAAAAGGCAACTACGTTTTGGTTGTTGTCTGTACAAAATTGCTCCGCACCGGTTATGCCGTGTGCTGCGTTTGTGGAAATTAAAATGGAAAGCAAACCATCGAGACCAAAAATATTCATGGAAACCCCACGCTAAGGGAGTCGGTGTGAATTCCATGCAAATCCCTGTTCCTTAGCAGTGATGGAATATAAAGGAACTTGTTACAGCACTGCTACAGAGGTAGTTGTAGCTTCGTAAGTAAGGCTGTAAATTGGTTCCTGTGTTCGTAGGACCTTGGTTCCAACCCTGGCATATTGGCCTGTAGCAGGCGCCTCAATAAAACAGCAGGGCGAGGGAGAAATGTCTTGAAAGTAAAAGCATGCTAAGTTCACGTTCCTACAGGAAAACACAACTGGAATGCAAACATGGCAATCTCATAGACAGCTGGTAACAAACAGCTTTGCATTAAAACACTTACGATATTTATGTACAACACATATATTTACTGTCCTAGAACCAGGGGTTCTAAGCGCTTTTATCAGAGTAACCTAAAGCCCACTGGCAGTGCAATCCTATGCAAGTCTACTCAGAACTATGTCCCATTGAGTTCAATGAAGCTGATTCCCAGGTAAGTGTGAACAGGATTGTAGGATAGGGAAGAAAAGGGCTTCTGAAACATTTAAAAAGGCAATATCCACAGCTGGAGGAAATCATCGGACCTCTCCTGTCCTCGCAAGAAAGTTGAGACAGACATCCTATGCAATACATTAAAATACACTTAGAATGACGCAGACAAAAAAAAGCGCGCACCAACGCATCACTTCCTGCATAACTAGGGCATTGCTTTATAGCTATCTCACCTACATCCAGCCAAACTAGTGCCCTGCTCCTTCATTATGAGTGAAGAAAACACTAACCTCTATTAATATGCTTGTAGCTTAAACAGCTCCTTGTTAAGTAAGGATAGCTTTGTGAAACAATTCGGCATGTTTAGGAAAACGCTCTACCTTGCAGCAAAACCATTTTAAAATTCCATGCTGCAAAAACCCAGCATATTTGGCCCTGAACAGGACCACTGGAAAGGATCCATTAATGCTGAGATTGGGCCCTCTGAAAATCATGTATGGCCAAGTTGTCACTGTATTGTCCCAGCTGAAACATACAAGTATTTTGCAACTGCCACGGTCCGTAAGAACTCTCTAATGCTCTGAAAATACCAAGAGACAATCTTGCATGCATGAGCCTTAGCTGGCATATTAAGGACGGTCCCAGAAAAGTGAGCTTCCAGTGGCTTTTGCCCCCTTTCCTAGTCCTCTGGGACCACTATGCATGCTTTCAATCTGCATTCTCTTGGACCTACTCTGGAACTGGGTCTGGAACCCTTATCGCCTTGCCAATATCCTTCAGACCCCACTGTCTGTCCCTGCGAAAAGAAAAGAGCAAAGGAAGAAATGGAAAGGTTTTCACCAAAGTGTTGCATAGCAAAGTATTGGGTAAAAGAGGCGATCCCTTTCTGAAGGGGAAAAAAAATCCATGAGTTCTGTAAGAACTATGTGCCTCTGCTGCGGCTCTACAGTGTTGTTTTGTGTGACTCCTCTTCTTTTCTTCAACCAAGGTACTCAGTGTCCTGTCATCGGCTTGTCAGTGCAACCTGAGAATGATTTATTCAAGAGGTGCGCAAGCTCCCGGCCCCTTTGCCTCCTCTCCGTAGTCCTAGCTGCTGCCTGTGGAAGAACATACTGAGCTACACATATTCAGGTTGGAATTTTCAGATTCTGTTTCAGTCTCAGCTTCGTCGGTGGTTTCAGGAGGAGAAATGGACTCGTTCATTTGATCTTGGCTCCTCTTCAACCTGTACAAGAGAGAGCGAGAGAGAAGGAAGACTATCATGCCAGTGTGAAAACGAGGTTACGAAAGTGGTGCTTTGAGATGAAACATGTGGTTTTTAAAATGGGGATTTAAAATGTGCACTTTAGGGAGATTTGGTATGAGTTTCAAGCCCTCCCTTTTAGCTGATTGTGGCCTCTGGGGCCAGGGCTTGTAAAAAGGGCGTTCCTGAGGACATTTTGAGGGTTTACTCAGAGAATGCTGATCACTTTTAATTAATTTAATCAGTTTAGAAACTCCTTTCACATCACCTCCCATCGTGTTGCTTCTTGAAATGCAACCATGGAGAGGACAGAGAATCGACATAGCAGGTTATTTCTGTGAAATGACTCCCTTCCCTGTTTGAATGATTTAAATCATGCCAGCACAACTTGGGTCTAACACACTTCTTTTTTTTTTTTTAAAGGAACTTCATCTCAGGCCAACCTGTCCAGTATTCTTCCTGCATTTCTGTCCTTTTGCACAAATCTCTTTTTTGAATTATGTATGATACATTCTTTGTTCAAGTTTCTGACATTTTGATTGCTTCAAAGTTGTAGGGAATTGTAAACTAGCTGACCTCAGGCTGTTTGTGCCGTATGCCACCTCCTCCTAATTAGAACATCCTTGTGGAATACTTTAAAAAATAAAACACCACAATTCACATTGCACTGTCACTTAGGTTAAAAATGATACTTGTGCGATGAACGTGCAATTTTTGTATATGAACAGTCATTAGTGCCATGATAGCTAACTGATTCAAAATATGGAGTAGGTCTGCTAGTAATAACAGTATCCCCTTCTCCCTCTTCATCACCAGGGGGCATCTATAGCACAAAGCAGCCTTCCCTAGCCAGATTCTCACTACAGTACATGTTTTAGACTACAATTCCCATCAGCTCGAGCCAGTATGACCAATGGTCAGGGATGATGGGAGTTGTAGTACAAAACATCTAGAGGACATCAGTTGGCTGGCATAAGGAGGTTAACTCTGCACCCAATTCAAATCCTGCTTAGCGGCTTGGGTGCGATGGTAAGCTAGCCTAAGGAAATTCATTGAAGGAAAGTCTTCTCCCCTTTGTGCCCTCTCAATACTCCCCAGTGTCCCGAGAAAAGCCTCCTGGGGGAGGTCATGACTTGGAGGGGCACCCTTTTGGAGGGTGACAGGGCTCTGCTGTGGGAAGGAAGAGATGGGAAACTTTTCTCCCATGAACTTCCTTAAGTTAACTTAGGTGCCAATGAAAACAAGCCCCTCTCCCCATCCCCTTAAAGCATCTTCCTAAACTTACTTTTCTCTGTTAAAAATGACAAAATCTTGCTGAATTGCTTCCAGGCAATCCTGGAGGTAGTCGTTTTCCTGATAAAAGAAAAGAAAACAGTTAACATGCACTTTCTGTCAAAATTTCTGAATGACATTTACTCAGGAGGGGCTAGTGGGGCGAGGCAAGTGTGGATCCATGGTTCTCGCAGCCTCCCGACGCTGTTGGCCACCGTCACTACAGAGAGGGGAGTGGCAAGGTGCAGGGAGCCAATCAGACGCACTTGCCACCATGTTGCACACTGCACTGAGCTCCCCGCTCCACCCCACTCTCCTCCACAGTAAGCAGCAGCCCACAGTGCTGGGAAGCTGGGGGACAGTGCACCTCCTACTGGCTGCTCCCGAGTTGACTTATATAGCACAAACACTAAGACCAACTTGGAAGCCTCTCTTTGGTTCCTTCATTCTGTTCTGCAATAATAATAATAATAATAATAATAATAATAATAATAATAATAATAATAATTTTATTATTTATACCCCACCCATCTGGCTGGGCCTCCCCAGCCACTCTGGGTGGCTCGCAACAGAGCATCAAAACACAACAAAACATAAACATTAAAAACTTCCCTAAATAGGGCTGCTTTCAGTTGTCTTCTAAAAGTCAGATAGTTGCAAGCAAGGAGACTATTGGATTAACTCCATTTTAAGCCTACGAAAGATACAGAAGACGAAAGAGGAAGCCCTGGAAGTCTATGGAATTCAGGAGCTTGAAATAAAGAAGTACAATTGGGGCCTCCACATAGACTTTGATTTTGATTATCACCAAGACTTAGGCCTTGCGGAAATTCCTCAGCAGTTGTTTCTAAATATGGGAAGAGACTATGGACTGATTGGATTGATTGTTAAGGAAATCTTTCGAGACTCGATGACCGACAAAAAGGACTACCAACAAAACCGGCGGAGAGGGACTGAAAGAGAGTTGAGAGCTTCGGACGTGCGGAACCCAGGCTAAAAAATGTTATTTTGGACATGTCTTGGGAAAGGACGCAAAGCGGGAATGGGAGGGAGGGAAGCATTTAAATTTAAACAACACTCAAGAC